CACTCACCAATAAAATTGTACCGTTTAACGAGTTGGGTTTAGGTGATTATTAGCTTAACGGGTCTAGTCGTAATCAACTCAAATTAGATAAAATCGATGCTTTTATAGGTTTACATAGCACCTTACTCACTTACGATTTTATAAAAAAATATTAGAAATCTTATTTTTTTTCGAAGTATTCTATATTTTTAATTAATAAATTTTGATTTTATATTTTTGGCCAATAGCCAAGTAGCTAAAAAGATACCCATGTATCACCACATAAAATCTCTAGAAGTATTGGATGGTGTTGAAGTACTGTCATGTGATATAATCAACATGTATATTGCAATATGAATGAACGATATTAATAAATGAAAGTTATTGACATTTCTAAAAAGTTATTCTGCACTTTTTACTAATATTATTTTTCTCTTAAATTTCTTCATGAGAAGAGTACACGTGGACTAGCGTGGAGTATCAATAGCAACAACTATACTCATATTACAACATCAATATATCAACAACTTATAAGTAATCGTAGTCCAGTATCATAGAGCAACTACTTCCAGTTCACCACCTCTAGTCTTTGAACTATTTGGCCGCTGCAAATTCAGTAGCAGCTCCTGCTTTACCTAATTATAAGTAAACACGTGTCTAATTTATGTTTAAAATTTCAATTATTTGAATACATGTCCATCTGTGATTGAATAGAAGTAGAAGTTGTTGCTAAATTTACAACAGCCAAATAATGTTATTATACTAAAGGATAATTAGATTAATTGAAGCTTTAAGATAAGGGATTTTTGTGGGGCTCAAGAGTGGGTCCGGAGAGAAATGCCACTTGGCAACCATGCCAAGCTAGTGATGTAGATTACAGGAGGGAAGGAGAGAGGAGGTGTGGGGAGGAGGTACTGAGGCACATGGGTGGTGTTAGGTTCAAGAACATCATGTGATCACATGTGATATCTTTTTCCTTTGGTTTTGTACAGTGGGACCTCCACCCCCCCTCTACTCTGTGCTACTGTGAACCCATCCGCACCTGATTGCGTGGTAGTTTTCATGAACTCTCCTAATCCTCCCTCCGGCGCGTTTGGGTCTCTAGTCTTCTCTATGTAATTTTTTTTTTTGATGAACTTGATTGCAAGACCTTTTTTTTTGTTCAAGAATGAATTTTCTATTGATGATGCTAATAATAGATCCATAACATGTCGAAATGTTTTGTTATTGACATATCATTAACTAATAGCATCGATACCTTATTGATACTATATCAAACTTTCTAAACAATTGACGTTTTGTTTAAGGAAAGAGCAGTAGCATACCAATTTGGTAACTAAAACATTGTTTGATATCTACGATTGAATTTGAATGGATAAGCTTCTAAATTCAAAGTATATTGAAGGTACAATAGAATAATTGTTCATTTCAACAAAATTAGAGGGACATTAGACATTAAAGTACTTCTTCTTTCAAATTTAAGCATTTTTTAGAGGATTAAAATGGATAAACTTTCAGCTAAAAAATATTTAGGGAATTGTTATTGGCGTTCCAAAAATCTCATGTTGCACTCTAAAGTTTTTATAATTAAAAAAAATACACTTGTGATATTGTAGAATGCGATTTTTTGAGTGCTAGTAATAATTCCTAATATTTATTGTTCATAATTTTCTAGTCATTGAACCTAGCCATTTTATGTATTCCTTTTCTAGCCATTGTACCTAGCCCATTGTATGTTCCTTTGTAGTTTCCAATGAGTCTTTATACGAAGAATATATTGTACTTTTTACACACAAATAAAAGCAAGAAATTTCTTTTCTACATGGTATTAGCTTTCTTAGATCCTAGAGTTTCGGTGTTCTTACATGTGATTGCGTCATTCTTCTTCTTCTTCTTCTTCTTCTTGTTCTGTCTATCTTCTGTTTGTCATGGTCTCTTCCTCCTTGTCCTCCATTCCGAATCTCAGCATTACAAACTTTGTTAAATTATCTTATTCTAACTATATCATATGACTCCGTCAAATTATCTCTTTTCTTTATGAAGATTAGAAGAAATTAGACATTTAAGTAACTTCTTCTTTCTAATTTTACCATTTTTTGAGAGGATTAAAATGGATAAACATTATGTTAAATTATATTTACTGTTCATAATTTTCTAGTCATTGACCCTAGCCATTTTATATATTTCTTTTCTAACCATTGTACCTAGCCCATTGTATATTCATTTGTAGTTTCCAATGAGTCTTTATCCATACAAAGACTATATTGTACTCTTTACACACAAATGAAATCAAGGAAATTCATTTCTACATGGTATCAGCTTTCTTAGATCCTAGAGTTTCAGTTTTCTTACCTGTGATGTGTCATTCTTCTTCTTCTTCTTTTGTCTATCTTCAGTCTCTTCCTCCTTGTCCTCCATTCCGAATCCTAGTATTACAAATTTCGTTAAATTATCTTATTCTAACTATCCCATATGGCTTCGTCAAATTATCTCTTTTCTTCATGAAGATTAGAAGAAATTAGACATTTAAGTAACTTCTTCTTTCTAATTTTACCATTTTTTTTAGGAATAAAATGGATAAACATTATGTTAAATAATATTTGATGCTCATAATTTTCTAGTCATTGAACCTAGCCATTTTATATATTCCTTTTCTAACCATTGTACTTAGTTGTTGACCCTAAAACTACCAAGAATACGTGGCACGCAGGCCGAGCAACGAATAAGCTAACTACGTCATTCGGTTGTGTACGGGGCGTGCCAACTCGTTGACCGAGTTTGGCCGGGGAGTCAAGTATGTTGATGTCACGTTGGGCGCACTGTTGACTTCTTGATCTTCCGATTGCGGCCGAGGAAGGAACACGCCTCGACCTTTGAGTTCTAGAGCTTGAAGACAAAGCTACTAGTTTCTTCGAAGTTCACGAATCGTTGGCGCCGGGTTCGGTCTCGGTAATTATATTCGTGAGAGTATAAGTACGCTGAACTGGTACCAAACTGTATGAACACAAATACTCGAAAGAAATAAATGTCTTGATTGTAAATGTGGTTAGGCCATCGGAATGCCGAACTCTAAAATGTACTTGCAAATATCCAATCATAAAAAAATACTCGACTTTCAATGTGCCGAGCCTAGTAACCTGTAACACCTCACTTCACCAAGAAGGCTGATGAGATGACCTCTACTAACAAAGAATCGAAAATCCTTGTTGACCGAGACTTGGATATATAACCAGTCGGTCTCGAAGCAGATTAGCAATGCTGTTTATCCAAACTAAAGATGCTCCTTAGTTGGCTGATTTTACTGCTCTAATGCTGTTTATTCAAACTGAAGATGTCGTCGGTTGCCTTCACAATGCTGTTTATCCAAACTAAAGATGTGTTGGCGAGAAAAAAGGGGGAGAGAAAAAAATCTCAAGGTTGTTGAGAAGCTTTGTGTAGAACAATTTGTGTGTTGATTTGAAGGGGCATTGAATGATACACTCCCTTCTCTATTTATAACAGCAAACTTCCTTCATGGTCGAACTAGAAATGTACTCGAATTAGAACTCCTCAACCCAATCTGATCAGGTTTCAACCAATCCTAACCCTTATAGGATTTTGAACCAAGCTCCTTAACAAACCAGATTCATCCCCTAATTCTAAGCATCTTCAGCTTTAAGACTCCTTGTTGCACTAGGGTTCGACTACCTCACATTTATCTAAACCAATCCTTCTAGCAACATAATTTGGCCGATTTTGACTAGACAACCCATGACAAGATTCTAGATGAATGTTATTGGGCCGAGAACAACTCTACACTCGGCCCAAAATATTATTTTGGGCCCAAACACTAGCCCATTGTATATTCCTTTGTAGTTTCCAATGAGTCTCTATCCATACGAAAAATATATTGTACTCTTTGCACACAAATGAAATCAAGGGAATTCATTTCTACATGGTATCAGCTTTCTTAGATCCTAGAGTTTCGGTTTTCTTACTTGTGATTGTGTCATTATTCTTCTTCTTCTTTTGCCTATCTTCTGTTTGTCATGGCCTTTTCCTCATTGTCCTCCATTCTGAATCCCAGCATTACAAACTTCGTTAAATTATCTTATTCTAACTATCTCATATGGCTCCGTCAAATTATCTCTTTTCTTCATGAAGATTAGAAGAAATTAGACATTTAAGTAACTTCTTCTTTCTAATTTTACCATTTTTTTAGAGGATTAAAATGGATAAACATTATGTTAAATAATATTAAATGTTCATAAGTTTCTAGTCATTGAACCTAGCCATTGTATATATTCCTTTTCTAACCATTCTACCTAGCCCTATTGTATATTCCTTTGTAGTTTCCAATGAATCTCTATCCATACGAAGAATATATTGTACTCTTTACACACAAATGACATCAAGGAAATTCATTTGTACATACTATTAGCTTTTTTAGACTCTAGGGTTTCGGTTTTCTTACCTGTGATCATGTCATTCTTCTTCATATGTCCATCTTCTGTTTGTCATGGCCTCTTTCTCCTCGTCCTCTATTCCAAATCCCACCATCACAAACTTCGTCAAACTATCTCATTCTAACTATCTCAAATGGCTCCGTCAAATTACCTCTTTTCTTCATGGACATGATTTGTGGTCTCATATTGATGGTCCGTCTTCCCCACCATCCATCCCCACACCCAATGCTAGCCCCACAACCTTCAAGTAAGTAATTTATTCATTTCTTCCTTCAGCTTATCTTGAAAATAGTAATCCATTTCAATCCAATCCATTGTATCAAACATTGCCTAAAAGTCAATAAAAGAGTTAAAAAATTTGACCCTAGTACCATGAACTTATATAAATTACATAGCATTTGTCTTGATACCTTAATAACCAAGCCAACGCGCTCGTTAGAGTCGTGAAGAGTGAAGCACTAGACTCCAATGTCCAAAACAAGAGCTAGGGCTTGGGAAGCCAAAAACTCTGTGGGCCTAAAGCTTCGTTGGCTTTGACATTTCTAGCAGCTCAACAATAATTTAACGCCAACTCCTCCTTCACAAAGTCATCAGTTAAACACACACCCCCCCCCCCCTCTCTCTCTCTCTCTCTCTCTCTAAAACTCTTCTCTGTGTTTCTTCATCAATGGAGGAAGCTCAAACTCAAACCCGAACACAAACCCAGCCACCCAAATCCACATTCAAGAGGAAACACAGAAAAAACCAGCTAAAACCCCGCATGGGAAATGCGGTGCATGAATCTTTATCCAGCATAAACTTCCTGCAGAGAGCTGTGGAGTCGACTCACGGAAGAAGCAGAAAACAGAGCATGAAGAGTGATATGGTCAACGATGTAAAGACTGCAAGTCGAGAGGAGGAGGACGGTGAGAAGGAGGAGGTGGAGAGGAAGATTGAGGCATTGCAGAGGATTGTTCCCGGCTGTGAGTCGCGCGGGGTGGACGAGCTTTTTGAAGAGACTGCTGGGTACATAATGGCGTTGCAGGGTCAGCTCAAAGCCATGAAAGAACTTGCCAGCTTTGTTGAAGGTTTGGAGAAGGAGAAGAGGAAGTTTGGTGGTTGATTTGATTAATTAGTTTTTAATTAATTAAATTATGGGATCTCTTTGCTGATTGGGAGTTTGGAAGGTTATTAATTTGGTTCCATGACAGACCAATGAAATCCTTTTTTTTCCTTAAAATTTTCGGTTTTATTTGCTGGGTTACTTGGGTAGCTTTTTTTTTTTTTTCTACTTGTTCTTTTTAACCTTTTCTTTCTTCTTTATAATGTTAATTTTTTGATATTTTTGTAATGGATAGGAAAAGATCAAGGTTCTCTAGTACTAAAGAAATGATATATAATGCCCCTTTCTACATGAATGTTGGAATTTTATTTTTGCGGAGCGATCAAGCGCTAACCAGTTGGTAATGCAATATGACTCGATCATACTTTGCAGGAATTTCATGTGTGCTGCAACTGCAGAAACGTGAGTGTATTTGGGAGGGCAAGGAGTTTGTGATTAGATAATGATATAATTTTGTATCTGGTATGCTTGCATGTCCCTTGGTGTCTCATATTTGCTTGGTCTCTTTTGTTTTATTTGGTTTGTTTGTTTACTGAGAAAACTAGTGGCAATTAGTGTCCTAAATATAGTAATTAGAAGATGGTTAGCATGTGGTTAGTGAGCTACTCCAAATGACTAAACTTTAAGGCTACATATGGATTTTGGCATCTCCTCGTATACATATGAAACATTAATAAAATGAGGTCCAAATGGTGTTTTGACTTTAATTAATTTGAACTAATGTTAATCAATTATTGTAACTAGCCTCCTTAAAATATATATCAAGTGCAACGCACAGGACAATGATTTAAGTTTTGAAATTAAAGTAATCTAGGTCATGATAAGTAATCTCTTCATGTTGTATTACCACATGAGTTATAGTAGAAAGTGAGAAAGTGAATATTTTGCAATAAATACATAACTAATTATGGAATGTCATGTATTTTGCAACGAAAGAGTCAAATTAGAGAACAACGATCGACAAGAGTGAATTAATAATGAGATTGTACACCTCATCCGAAAAGAGCCAAATTAGAGAGGAATCTAATGAGAAGAGACAATTTATAATGAGATTGTTACCTTAGTCGAAAAGAGCCAAATTAGAGAAGCGTAAACCTAAATTGTATAGAGAGCCAAGTTATAATGAAGAGCATCAAAAACCTATGCTTGAATGGTATTTCTTGAGGTGACATACAATCATGTTTATATTTATATTATTAGAAATTAAGTCACTATGCAAAACTCTAATATGCGTGCGAGTACAACTAATTTGATTTATTTTTTGGAGCAGTGTCTCCAATTTTACTCATTAATAACATTATCAAGTTAGTGATTTGGATTAATTTTGAGATTTTTCGGTGACAAGATCATGCATGTCACCCACGACGTCGACTAATCTGATTCTTCTTTGAATTAATTTTGAGATTTTTCGGTGATAAGTTAGTGATTTGGATTAATTTTGGATTAATACAACTTGGTGATGTCATTGCTTGTGACTTTGTGCACCTTTCAAGTTTCAAATGTTGACTTTGGACTTCATAAATCTAATTAGACTTGTTGTCAAACCACGTAAGTGGATTTGCCACTTTTTTTACATTCGATTATTGGCAACTTACGATCAAAATTAAACAGTTAGTTCTCATTAGTTTTTTAGTATGTGATTGATATTTGATCGTCCTGGATATTTAATTTTAATCAGTTTAGTAATTAAAAATTTAATATTTGATCATTTTAGTCAATTTTTTAACTAAGCCACTCTATGGAAAGAGAGGTTATAAGCTTGATTATGATATAAGTAATATGTATGGGAAGTTCTACTTATTGTGTATAACTTGGAAATTTTTCCTCACGACGCCACAAGAATCATTTATGAGTATCCTGAACGCACTTTTAAACTATTTTAGAAGTATTATTAAAGAAAGTGAGATAATCACGTACGCGTTGAAATACGAGTCAAATATTGGAGACATATATACAGATCCATTGGACGTAGATCGAACACATCATCTACATATGGTGGCCATGGTTTTCCAATTTCGTATTGCGCCAAACAAGCAAAAGCAAAGTTGAGACTTTGAGACGCAAAACTTTATGGGTGCAGTTGGAAACCGCCATCCATTTGCAAGGGGTGCATGCATGTGTACATGCAGAGTTATGGAGCGTTAGTTTGCTTGCACTAAGAGTGATAAATTAAGAAAGATAAGAAGAAACAAAGGAAAAGTGGTAGTGGAGGTGTTTGTCTTATAAGATATAAGGAAAAACGAAAGAGCTCTCTCTCTCTCTGTCTGCAAATTGCAGGTGGTCCTCTCGTGGAACATTCATGGTTTATTAAACAACCTGCATGCGAAAGGAACAGCCCGCCCAGACATATATGTTGGACTTTGGACAACCTGTATCGATCTCTGTCTGTATCGCTGTAAATTTAACTTGTTTGTTGCCATTATTTTTCTTTAGGTTTACGGCAAACCAAATAAATACTGCAGGCTTTGCCCATTCTCTTGTGTTCGTCTTCTGCCTCCCGTCTCCACGCTCTGTTTGATTCCAAAGTTGCCAACCAACACATGATTGGGCTTGGTTTTGGTGGTTTTGTGTTTCAGCATGAATTACAATGGGCCTCTACGAAATGTAAGCCCTATTTAGATTGTAATGAATAGAGTTGTTTTACACGAAAATGATTTGCATACCCAATTCTCTCATCCCACACACATTTCTTTATTTTCTAGCCGTTAGACTGAACAATGTGCGTTTATGAAATGTTAGCTCTTATTACTCTATTAGAGCATGTCCACCAGTTCAGAGCTGTTCACTAGCTCTCTCACTTCCCCACCCACGTGGCTCGTTGTGAGCCTTTGATTTCAATTTTTTTTTTAATTCAACAACTAAGATTGAGACCTCTAAACATTTAAAAATCATAAAAAAAATACCCAAAAAAAAAACTTACAAAGTTCGCACTTTAAAAATCTTTTAAAGTTCAACAGACTTGCAAATTAAACGTTACAATTACCCGAAAATCTACGATGATAATGATTTGTGAGGATAAGACGAAGAAAACATAAAAAAGAAAAAAGTTTTGTGAATAGTAATCACCTTCGTCCTTCCCCTTGCCCTTCCTCCTTCCAAACTAGTGGACTTGCACAAAGTAATTACTGTTTAAAGTGAAAATTAAGGGCAATTTTATAGCCTTTGCCCTCGAATTGCCATTGCCCTCCACCACTCCACCAGCCCTCCACCAACTGGTGGAGATGCTCTTAGTAGAAACATTGGTAGGTAGGGGATTGCCTTAACATTTCCCCTCCGACTAGCCCGTTGTGCACCTCCACCAAGAAAAAACACATTCCCACAACCACTGTTGACCCATTGCATTGTTAATTTTTACGTATACAAGTCATTTAACACTACGTTTTAGTAATAAAATATTTAGGCCTATTTTTTTGTGTGGTCTCTGTGGTGACACACCACTTTCAATGTCACCTTTATGGTGAAAAAGCTATTAATTAAACTCCCTTGGTGAACCTTGTTAGTAATTGAGGTTCAAATCCAAACTTCTGTTAGTCTTTCGTTAAATAAACTCATGCGACTATCACATGAATCGATCAAATACATCATTTCAATCCCAATTACATCCTATTCCATGGACATCTAGTATGACTTAGGTATACGTTTGTTCTTTCTGGATGAGTTATGACATACACTTGTTTTTCTTGTGAGTTAAAAAGTTGGTATATGATTCCAGTGCACAAAGCAAATTGAAACAAGTGAAAATGAGAGATAATTTACAAGAATAACTTAAAGAATTAAAGACAACGGGTGAACGACATTGCAGTTTATGCATTCAGACGAGTGAAAGGCATTGCAAAATTAAAGAATTAAAGACAATGGGTGAAAGGCAGTGCAGAAAATTCAATTTTCACGTCTGCCCTCTGCATATGAACTTTAAGAGCATAAGAAACTTAAATAATTAAAATTCAAAGAAGATTAAGAAAAAAATTGAAGGGTTGTGTACTGGCCAACTACGACGTGCATCAAACTACACTAGCAATTAAAGACAAAATTGAAAGGCATATATGCATTCTAACTGGTACAAATTGATACAACAACAACAACAACAACAACAACAACAAAGCCTTTTCCCACTAAGTGGGGTCGGCTATATGAATCCTAGAACGCCATTGCGCTCGGTTTTGTGTCATGTCCTCCGTTAGATCCAAGTAATCAAGTCTTTTCTTAGGGTCTCTTCCAAAGTTTTCCTAGGTCTTCCTCTACCCCTTCGGCCCTGAACTTCTGTCCCGTAGTCACATTTCGAACCGGAGCGTCAGTAGGCCTTCTTTGCACATGTCCAAACCACCGGAACCGATTTTCTCTCATATTTCCTTCAATTTTGGCTACTCCTACTTTACCTTGGATATCCTCATTCCCAATCTTATCCTTTCTCGTGTGCCCATACATCCCACGAAGCATCCTCATCTCCGCTACACCCATTTTGTGTACGTGTTGATGCTTCACCGCCCAACATTCTGTGTCATACAACATCGTTGGCCTTATTGCCGTCCTATAAAATTTTCCCTTGAGCTTCAGTGGCCTACGACGATCACACAACACGCCGGATACACTCTTACACTTCATCCATCCAGCTTGTATTCTATGGTTGAGATCTCCATCTAATTCTCTGTTCTCTTGCAAGATAGATCCTAGGTAGCGAAAACGGTCACTTTTTGTGATCTTCGCTAGATTGCTCCGGTCATTAGTGTGGATAAGTATATAAATGGATAGAGATAGGAAAGCAAACACAAGATGTACGTGATTCACCCAGATTGGCTACGTCCACGGAATAGAGGAGTTCTCATTAATTGTGAAGGGTTTACACAAGTACATAGGTTCAAGCTCTCCTTTAGGGAGTACAAGTGAATGATTTAGTACAAATGACATTAGGAAATATTGTGGGAGAATAATCTCGTAACCACGAAACTTCTAAGTCCCGGAGTGTGGTATCGGCTTGACTTTCCTTATCTGTCTCATAGGTAGAGGTGGAATCTTCTCTGGAAGTACTCTTCCTCCATCCAGGGGTGGTATCTGTAACTGGTGGAGATGCACAAGGTAATGTATCAATGTCACTTGAAGCTTACTTGTAGTTTCAGGCTTGGTCAAGCGCGATACAAACCATGTAGTAGGAGTCCCCCAAGTCGCCGAGCTAGGGGATCTGCTGAAAGAGGTAACATACAAGGTAAGCAATCAGAGCTCCGGCTGATTGTTCACATTCTCCCTATCTTGCAGGCAGCATGAAGGATAAAGAGAAGAAAAATGAGAAGAGATGATATGGGATACTTTTGCTTTTGAAGAAGTAACTTTCCACAGGCTTATTCTTGAACTGGGCTGGAGGGTTTTCTGGTTTCCTCCAA